GGGATCAAAGTTGTGCTGCAGTGGCTATGGATAGCTTCATAGTGCTGTGCTTAACCGCTTGTGCCACCAGAGAGACACCATAGAATTAGCTTTTTTTCTTATAAGTAGACTGGAATTTAGAGTTTTGGGGAGGAAGAATAGTGTTAGAATGCCATTTTCATCACATCATATTAAGGGCACATACTTCTTCATGATTACTTTTTTTAAAAAAAGGTTTATTTATGCAAACAAAACTGGGGTACAGGCCAGAGGTACAGGGGTGTTGAGAGGACTCACCAGAGGCAGAGTGGGGAAGAGAACAGGCCGACTGATGAAGTACACTCCTGAGGGGAGCAACGGGTCGGTCAGGAGAGGTCTGCTGCGCCATGTCGATCACCTACAGAGCAGGGATCAAACTCATGCTCAAGTGGCTTTAGCTTCTTGGTGCTGTGTTTTAACCTGCTGCGCCACCAGGGAGGGCCTGTGATTACTTTTTTTTAAAAAAGATTTATTATTTATGCATAGAAGAACTGGGGTACAGGTCAGAGGTATGGGGGTGGGGGTGAGGGAAATCACCAGAGACAGACTGGAGATCTACTGAAATACACTGCTGAGAAAAGCAGTTGGCAAGACAGGAAAGGTCTGCTGCTCCATATGTGTGTCAGCTCTGGCAGGAGATCAAGCCCAGGCCTTGGTTGTGATACTGCTGAGACTTAACCCGTAGGTCATTAGGGAGGCCCCCCTTTTGATTACTTTTAATATACTTTTTTTTTTTTTAATATACTTTTTCAGATGTGTTATTTCAGCGTTTTGCAAAGATTTTCATTGGCTGTCTTGCAGCAGTTACTAGTGGAATGATGTATGCTCTCTACTTATCAGCATATCATGAACGGAAATTCTGGTTTTCCAACAGGCAGGTAAGAAGAAAGAATTTTGAGTATATCGAAGTTGTATTTAATATTAAATATTGTGTTTTTCACAGAAACAGAATATGTGATAAACATGGTGATTGCTTTCTTATTTATACTCATATAAGGAAAATAGTATGAAAGTTACTTTGAGAATACAGATATAATATTAACCTTGAGAAGTTTAATAGAATGTATTTCAGGCTATAGAATAGAAACTGAGGGTGCCTTCCTTCATGCAGTTAATCTTATTTTTAATAAGATTTATTTTTACTTATTTATGCATACAAGAACTGGGGTGTAGACCAAATGTGTGGGGGTGGAGTGGGGTGGGGTGGTTACTGGATTCACCAGAGACAGAGTGAGCAGCAAAACAAGTGGATCTACTGAAATACACTGTTGAACGGAGCAACCGGTGAAATAGGAGAGGTCTGCTGCACCATGTGGGTCACTTCCATAGCTGGGGATTGAATTCACGCTGAAGTGGCTGGTGATACCTTGGTAGTGCTGAGACTTTAACCCCTGTGCCACCAGGGAGGCCCCCTTCAAACTTTATTATATTTTATCAGTGAAATGTTGTAGAGTTTAGTCAGCTCTTTAGTAGTTTTGATACTTTACATTTCAGAGAAAACTTAAAAGTTTCAACATTAAAATATTTTAATTAGGGTTTTCCCTGGTGGTGCAATAGGTTAAAGCACAGCACTATGAAGGAATAGCAGCCACTGCAGCACCAGTTCGACGCCCAGTCTGCCCGGCCATGGAGGTGACCACATAGCGTGGCAGACCTCTCCTAACCCCCCCCGCTCCCCTCAGCAGTGTATTTCAGTCTAGCTGCCTGTTCTATTCCTCACTCTTTCTCTGGTGAATCCTCTCACCCCCTGCACCTCTGGCCTATACCCCAGTTCTGTATGCATAAATAAATATTTAAAAAATTAAATTTTCAATTATCCATTATATAATTGGACTGCTTTGAGAAATGATTCACAGGCATAATATAGAACTATTTGCTAAGGTGTTACCTCATATCTACTTACTGCATACTTAATGCTTTGTTTTAAATCATTTATCCCACAGGTCTCCATAGTTACATTCATAATTGATAACATGACCTTTGAATAAATTTTTTTTCAAACTTAACTTCACAGTCAGATATATCAGTAATATTCAGTGGCACAGTTCACAGTGTTACCACTTGACTTTATAGTGAGGGGATTCATCAGAGACAGAATAGGGAGCAGAATAGGCGGATGTACTGAAATGCACTGCTGAGGGGAGCAGTGGGCGAGACAGGAGAGGTCTGCTATGCCATGTGAATTAGAGTGGTATTTTTTCTTTAGCTAAACTATTTTGTTGAACTTATGTTTGAGCAGTAAGCAGTCAAGGTGACTAAATGTTTTAAAGCTATTTATTTACCTAAAAGCACCAAAACATTAAGCAGAATAATTACTACACTTGTATGGATTTGACAAAAGCTATTACTATAGCATATGCTATTTCCCAATGGTGACTATACACTGGAATAATCTTGGAAGCATTCAAAAAATAACTTCCCTCATGGATTCTTGGGGAACAGTATTCACAAAGTATTTCCATACAATCCTGTTCAGTTGGCAGAAGTGAGAATAACTAGAGGTCTAAAAATATACAAGTTATTTGCTAAGAATCTTGTTTTTTGAAGTGCTGTGTATAATCCAGAATCATTGTTGTCACCTGGGAACTTATTCAGATCTCTAGGAGTTTGATATGCACATTAAATTTGAAAAGCACTGATAAGGAGCTTGCGAACTTTAGAAAACTTTGTGTTCATAGATAAATATATTTGAAAATAAGTTCCATTAGATTTATGAAATCTACATAGATTTATGAAAGCTTGATTCATCATGAGAAGTTGTAGCTTTTCTAAGGTGACAACTTATATTCTTAACTTCTGCATAGTTTAATTTTAGGAATTTTAAGACTAGCTTGTATTTCTGGAAGATTATTTGAAAGGCACTATTAGGTATCTGCTAATCTTGAAAAGTACTAATTTAAGGCCTTACTGTTCTGAATACATAGGGAAGTAGAATAGCAATACAATATAATACTTTCTTCTTAATGTTATCTTTTTATTGTGGATTTCTAACTTACTATCATCTTTTATCACCTGACTTATTATTCTTGTTGTACTTAGGGCATTTATTTTGGTTTTCTTTATATATGACATGTTAATCACTTATGGGTTTCATTCCATTTTAAACCTTACATATTTCATGAAAATGATTACCATGATTTGAAAATGATTAAATGAAAATGTTAGAAAATGATTATCTGACATCACTAATATGGGAGTAGTGATTAAAGCAAAATTCAAATATGTCTTTGAATAAGAGGATAAATAGTATTAATTTAAAAAAGATGAAGAGAAAGAAGATTGCATTGAAATTTAGTACATTTAATGTCAAATAATTTCATTTTCTTTAGGAACTTGAACGGGAAATCACATTTCAGGGTGACAGTGCCATTTATTACTCTTATTATAAAGATATGTTAAAGGCACCTTCATTTGAAAGAGGTATGATAACCATATTTGTATTTTTAATTACTTTTTCTAAATAAATATTGTTCTTCTATGTGGCATTCTTAAATGTGGAGATTTGTCTCAGAATTAGAGGTGTAGTTTTCTTGTATTTAACTTAAGAATTGGAAAAATGAGGCACAGAATAATATATTTTGGAATCTTTCTTGATAATTAAAATATTTATATTATTTGAAGGAATGAAAATGTTTTATTTTTAAATTTTTTATTGAGGTAACATTGGTTTACAATGTTGTTTTGATCTGGAGGTATAGTATCTCCCCCTTTGGGTGTTACCACACTACACACAACATCAAAACACCCATAGACTCCACATAGTCCATTGTGCTCCCTCAGCAATTTATACTCGTACTGTTCTCTCCCTCTGGTAACCCTCTACAGTCAGATTTCTAGATTTGTTACTGGTTTGGCTTTCTATGACTCTTTTGGTTTCTTCATAATCCACATGTAAGTGACATTATCAGGTATTTATCTTTCTTCTGACTTATTTTGCTTAGTGTAATATTTCCACCCATGTTGTCACAGATGGTAAGAGTTAATCTTTTTTTAGTAGCTGAGCTGTAGTCCATTGTGTGTATATACCATATCTTAATTTAAATATTTAGTGACTTCTGAATGGCATGTTTAATTATTGTAAAGACAGAATAAATAATCTGGTGAAAATTTTTGTTTTTAGGTGTTTATGATTTGACACACAATAATAAAACCATATCTCTGAAAACTATCAATGCAGTGCAGCAAATGTCTCTGTATCCAGAACTTATTGCAAGCATCTTATATCAAGCAACTGGTAGCAATGTATGTATTTTCTTTAATTTTAATACTTATTTTCTCATGTATTTGTGAATCCTCAAAATTATCCTATTATCTCCTCTTTTTTTCCCCAATTAGGAGGTTATTGAGCCAGTATATTTCTATATTGGCATTGTTTTTGGATTGCAAGGAATATATGTTACTGCTTTATTTGTTACAAGTTGGCTTATGAGTGGAACCTGGCTAGCAGGAATGCTTACTGTTGCATGGTTCATTATAAACAGGTAAGATGGCATTTTAAATTAGGTTTTACAGTTTCTTATGGCTATGGTAGTCAGTTATAAAAATGACCACCCTACTCCCCACACCCCTGTTTCCTGCTGTAAACTCTAGACCCTGTCAATATGATATATCATTCCTGTGAATATATTATATGGCATAGTTAACCTTCAGGTAGGATGATTACTGGTGGGTGGGATCTAGTTTATGATTCTTTAAAAGTGTAGAGAGCGCTTTCTCCAACGGGTACAGAAGGGGAAGTTAGTCAAAGCATGAGAAGGATATGCTGAAGCTATGACTGGATTGATGTGAGAAGGAAAAAAATTTTTTTAAAGATTTATTTATTTATGCATACAGAACTGGGTTACAGGCCAGAGGTGCCAGGGCAGTGAGAGGCTTCACCAGAGACAGAGTGGGGAGCAGAACAGGCAGATGTACAAAGTATACTGAGCCAAGCAGTGGGTGGGACAGAAAATGTCTGCTGTGCCTATGGGTCACCAAAGGGGCTGGGGATCCAACTTGTACTGAAGCGGTTGTGGCCAGTTTTCAGTGCTGTGTTTTAACCCGTTGCATCACCAGGAAGGGCCTGAGAAGGAAAATAATTCTGTGAACAACTAGTGAGTTTATAAAAGAACTAACTACAAGCCTTGGGTGGGGACCATAGCCTTGACTAATATTTTTTATTTTAGCTTAGGGAGAACCTGAGCAGATAATCTAGCCATACTGTAGTAGGCTTATGAACTAATACATTTGTGTTGTTTTTAGCTCCTTCTTATATTTATTTATTATTTTTAAGATTTATTTTTATTTATTTATGCATATAAGAACCGACGTTTAGGCCAGAGATGCAGGGGTGGAAGGATTTACCAGAGACAGAGTGGAGAGCAGAATAAGCGTATCTACTAAAATACACTGCTGAGGGGAGCAGTGGGTGAGACAGAAGAGTTCTCCTGTGCCATGTGTTCTCCTGGCCAGGGATGAAACTTGTGCCACATTGACTTGTGATAGCTTGATAGTGCTCAGACTTTAATCCCTGTGTCACCATGGAGACCCTTTACCATTTTTTAAAGATTATTACTTGCAACAATTGTCTTTTTTTTTAAACATAGTGACATTGGCATCTATGGATATACCTCTTTCCTCTGTTTTTTTTTTATATTGATGGAAGACATAGTTTCATGTAAAGAAGGAAGAGGCAACAGATAGATACATCACTATTAAGTTAACAATCACAAATAAGAATTCTACATTAACTTATGACCATGTGCTTTAAAATAATAAACCTGTTGCTTTTGGTGATCAAGTAATTTAATTTCTTTAATAGTGTGTAATAACAGAATAAGATATTAGTCTTCTTTGAAATGGAAGGTTAACATGTGATAGTAATTTTCTTGGCATTGGTTAAGTCAAAAATTTATTTGTGGAATGATGGACATTCTCTTCCCTAGCATTTTTATTCTTCGTGACCCTTGAGGTGATTTTTTTTTTATGACAGTTACTCAGTGTCACCTTTTAAAAAAAGATTTATTTTTTTATGCATACAAGAGCTGGGGGATAGGCCGAAAATACGGAGGTTGGAGGAGGTGAGAGGATTCACCAGAGACAGACTGGGGAGCAGAACAGGAAGATTGACAAAGTACACAGCTGAGGGGAGAAATGGGCAAGATGGGAGAGTTCTGCTGCGCCATGTGGGTCCCTTCCCTGGCCATTGAACTCGTGCTGCAGTGGCTGTGGATTGCTTCATAGTGCTGAGTCTTGACCTCTTATCCAACAGGGAGTCCCCAGTTTTACACATTTTCTTTTGGCAGTTGCCAAATGTAAAAAAAAAATATACTGTCAAGTTTTTGAGACTTAGTATTAAGGACTATATCTCTCACTGGACTTTGTTTATATTTAGAGTCCTATGTTGGCAACAAATATAATTTTAAGAAATCCAGGGAAAGCTGTAAATGACTTAACATAATGAAGGGCATTGTACTATGAGGAAAAGGACAAGGTCAGTTTGGGAGGATAGAAGGTATGAATGAGACAGTAATTGGGGTAGAAATAGAAAGAGAAAGTTATTACTTAGAAATATGAGATTAGGGAAAAGTTGAGTAAAGAGAATTTTTGGATTTATTATGTGTGTGGTATCTTGTAAGTTCTCAATTTCTTTCTTAAAAAATGTCTCATTATTGACTTTCATTATTTTATGATGTTAGACTGTTTTTTTTGTGTGTGATATGCTGAGATAGACTGGATTTATTGATTTTGCACCTTTACCTTCTTGGCTTGTGTGGATTTACTATTTGTAATTTTGATTTTTTGCAGATAACTTAGTGCTTTACCTGTAATTGGAATTGTAACTTACTAACTTGGAAAGTAGTATGCTAGAGTGGGTCATTTAGTGAGAGAATGAAATTATGTACAAACGTGTTCATCTCTACTAGGAAAGTTATACAGGGCCCTTCCTGGTGGCGCAGCATGTTAAAGCACGGCACTAAGAAGCTAAAGCCACTTCAGCGTGAGTCCCAACCCCCCCCAGAGGTGACTCACATGGCGCAGCAGACCTCTCCTTACCCGCCTGCTGCTCCCCTCAGCTGTGTACTTCGTCATTCGGTCTGTTCTGCTCCCCACTCTGTCTCTGGTGAATCCTCTCACCACTCCTGTGCCTCTCGCCTGTATCCCAAGTTCTGTATGGATAAATAAGTAAATCTTAAAAAAAATTATACGGCAATATTCATAAGTATTTTAAAGCAATAGCACTTTTGCTTTTGTATGGAATATAGCTGGTGAGTGTCTGAAATCCATGTTTCATGATTGTTGGACAGATAGTCGAAAGATATATTCAGGAGCCAACAGTCTCTCAATGAAATTGATTGGGGATAAAACTTAGGAGGAACCTACAAAGACCTGCAAAGTTGTGATTCTCTGAATTTTCACGAGTGTCTAAATATATCACATAAATGGCTACTATAATGTTAATTCTGGGCAACTTGCTGACTGATAAGATTACTCCACTAGATATCAAAAGATATGCATTATAATCTTAATTGTCCCACCTCCTAACTATGTGACCTTGATTAAGCCTGGCTACCTGCTATTTTATAGTAAAGACTGCTCTAGAGAGGTTGCTGTCTCCTTTAGGGAAAGGAGGGTGGCAGCTGAAATCCAGTGTAATTTGCAATAAGCTGTGTGTCTACGGAATCTGCCCAGCGCAGGGATGTCTTTTTCAGATTCTCACAGATGCCCATCTGTTGGCTAAGCAGCATGCATGGCCTTCCTGGGTGGAAGATAAGGGTGTATTAGGTGTAATTAATTTGCTTAAAGATCCTGTATAAGCAATGTGATTATCTGTACCCACCTCACAGGATTGTATGGAGAACAATGAGATATGTGTGAAACTGCTTTCAAGACTATGGTGTTACAAAAGTACAGTGTGTTGCTATTTTGCTGTTCATTTGTGGTTTATTTTAGGGTAGATACAACAAGAATTGAATACTCCATTCCTTTAAGAGAAAACTGGGCACTGCCATATTTTGCATGCCAAGTTGCTGCACTTACAGGATATTTAAAAAGCAACTTGAATACTTATGGAGAGGTAAGATCCAAGTCTGTTTTAGTCATCATAATAAACTGATGTATTTCATATGTGGTACATAATTTTAAAAGTAATCGTATTAAGCAGTATAGCCTGTGAAGGCTTAGTTATTACTTGATAATAGATACTGTTATGAAGTCATATTATACACTATTATTCTATAATCTGATCAATAGTAAATTATTACTAGGTTAAAGGAGGTGTTACACTGTTTTAATCTAGCTATTCAAAAAATAAAGAATATCTTAATTTGAAAATTAATCTGTCAGTTGTGATCGTTTTTTCATATCTGGAGCATTGATGACTACTAGTTATCATACGTTAAAGTCATATTAATGACGTGACTATGAATGGTAGCACTGTATTTCTATTTACTCTTAAGATTTCTGGGAGTGCAATGTAGATATGATAATGAATGTCAGGAAATTGTTACAGATACTTTAGATTGTCTTTTTGATGTTACTTTGCCATATATTCTTTTGTCAGTTAGATGAAGCCTTTGGACTTTGTCTTAAAATGGTTCAAAATGCATAAAATAAGGCCCTCCCTGGTGGCACAAGGGGTTAAAAAACTACCCACATCCACTGCAGCATAAGTTCAATCCCTGGCCAGGGAGGTGACCCACATGGCTCAGCAGACCTCTCCTGACCCGCCTGCTGCTCCCTTCAGCAGTGTATTTCAGGAGAGCTGCCTGTTCTGGGGCCCATTTTGTTTATGATGAGTCCTTTCCCCCAGCATCTCTGGCCTTACCCCAGTTCTTATATGCCTAAATAAATAGATCTTTTAAAAAATGCATAAAACAAATATGGTTATAAAGGAAATAGAGAGAAATGTAGAAATCTTTGACAGTCTGCCTGTCATGGGTTAAGAATTCCTATTTCATCAGAAGCTGCTTAGGTATCCTATACCACCCATTGTTGTGGTGCCTCATGGAAGCAAAAGCTGCACTTTCCCATGGCCCCTTAGGCCAGAAGAGCACCTTGGGTGAGAGCTGCACCGAAGCAGCTGATGGCCCAGATGACAGCTGCTACAACTGGACTATCTGTGGCTCTGCTATTGGCACATGAATAGGTCATGCCAACACTTGGGGCTTCAGTGGAGAAAGTTGTGGTAGGCCCTCATTCAGCCTGGCACCACTTACCAGGAACCTCAGGAAAGCCAGCCAACATAACACCAGCAGCAGCAGTTGCTGTGACATGAACCGTTTTTTGAAATGTGTCCAAAACAAGGGTGACCTGAAATTTTGTGAAGGTTTCAACGAGGGGCTGAACAGTGTACATGTGCCAATGCTTTAGACTAATCAAGAAGTTCAAATTGAAGACATGGAAAATCACCCCTCATGATCAAGGTAATTTAACATAAAAATGTGTTAGTGAAATACAAAGTGTAAAGCCATCACTATTTCTCTCTTCTATCTTTACTAGATTCCTCTTCAGATTTGCAATGGAAGAGGGTGTTGTTATTGTATAGAAAAGTTCACTGAAGTATTGAGTTTGAGACTGCCAGATGTTTGCATGGCTTGCTTAAGCCAGCTTTTGTGATGTTGCTGTTGCTGTTTATGAATTAACTAAAGTGATTTTTTTTTAAGATTTGTTTTATTTATGTATGCAAAATAGAGCTGGGATATAGGCCAGAGTGCAGCGTAGTTAGAGGATTCACCAGAGACAGATTGGGCCCCAGAACAGGTGGATCTACTGAAATACAATGCTGAGGGGAACAGTGGGCTGGAGATAGTAGGGGTCTGCTGTGCCCTGTAGGTTAGCTCTCTGATTGGGGATCAAACTTGTGCTTTAGTGGCTGCTAATAGTTCTTCGTGCTGAGACTTAACTCCTTGTGCCACTAGGGAGGCCCTGAAGTGATTTTCTTTAAAAAAAAAAAATTCCTGGCTAGAGAAAGAGATCATAGAGGAGACCAAGGAAAGGATTTTGTTAAATCTAGTTACTGGAAAACATGGTGCCCTCATGGTTCTTTTTTGAAATCTCTAAAAAATGTGCTGTTTCTCCTCCTTTTAGTGGTGTCAAATGTTCTGAGCATAGCAAGTCTATTGTTATATTTTTTAGAACTCTAGTAGTTCCTTTTATGTGAAATAACACAAGGACACAGGCAGGGGTGGAGGGATGGAGGGGGGAACTGCAGCTTGGCTAGCTTCAGAGTGCTGCACTTTAACCCAGAAACACGCTAAGGGATGTTGTTAAGAGATTTGATTTCTTACCAAGGGATCCTTAGGAGATGGCATTTAAAAGGATAGAATTCATTTTAGACAGGTGTTTTTCAGATAAGGGACGTGAAATCACTATTACTTACAAAAGGAAAACAGCTGAGCATTTTATATGGTTGACAGAACTAGCATTGGAGAAAGATAAAGCCACACTTATGCTAAGGAAATGAAAGAAGTGCCAAGTGTTTTCCCTTGGACTGTAGAATAGATTGCAACATATTCTGATGAGGATTTTCTGAATATGAAGTGCCATGGAAGTGAAAATACTTCTATCGTGAAAGGGGTCACTTTCACAATAATGAAAGTCCACCAGCCAAGTCTAACAAAAGCCACCATTTTCTTATCATTATTGCTTTACTTTTGGGATGAAAGAAAATTTACTAAATGTTTTTTCTCTTTCTGAAATTGTTAATATGATATTGATTACTGAAGGACAGCTGGTTGATTTCTTTTTAAGATGTATTATTTAAACTTTTATATAATTAATAATTATGTGATTTGAAAATAGTTTAAAGAATTGTATAAAGGTGAAGCAATAACAGAGCTGTTACTTTGAAATAATAGCTTCATAGTTTTTATAGTAACAAAGCTATTGATATTTAGTGTCTTGCTTTTGTTTTCCCTAGAGGTTTTGCTACTTATTGATGAGTGCTTCAACTTACACATTTATGATGATATGGGAGTACAGCCACTATCTCTTGTTTCTCCAAGCAATATCTCTGTTCTTACTGGATAGTTTTTTACTGGAACAAAGTGACAAGGTATTATGGCATTTAAAAATTGTGAGTTTTTAAATGTAGAGAATAAATGTTTTTATATTGTTATATCTTAAAATGACTTGAGTTTTCAGCTTTATTTTGAAGTGTTTTAATAGCCTCTGATTTATTTTTCTACTCAAAAAAGCTTGCTAAACATGTTTTTCCCTAACCCTTTTATTTATTAAAAAAATTTTTTTTCCTGTAAGTATTTCTATTTTTATTTTTTAAGATTTATTTATTTTTGCATACAGAACTGGGGTATAGGCCAGCAGTGCAGGGGTGGCAAGAGGCTTCAGCAGAGACAGAGTGGGGAGCAGAACAGGCAGATCAACAAAGTACACTGCTGAGGGGAACAGTAGGCGGGTCAGGAGAGGTCTGCTGAGAGACATGGGTTCATCTCCAGGGGTCGGGGATCGAACTCATGCTGAAGTGGCTGCGTCTAGCTTGCAGTGATGTGATGCGTCCTAACCTGTTGCCCCCCCAGGGAGGGCCTCCCCTTACCCTTTTAAAAGCACTTAAAATTCCTTTAAATACAGTCTGCTTAACCAAAGCTGCCTGTGCTGCCTTTCCTTTCCTAGCTGTCTCCTCCTTTCCTTAAAACAAACAAACAAAAGTGAGCTATAGAACCTATACAAAAGGGTATATTTATGCTGTGTGTACAGTGTTAACAGTGTAATTATTTGAACACACAGGTCCAGGAATGGAGCATTTCTATAACCCTAGAAGCCCCTTCATGATACCTCCCTAGACTTATCCTGCTTCCTCCCAGACAGAAGTTAACTGTCCTGAATTTTTTTAATTTCTCTTTTTTTTCTCTTTATGGTTTTTGCCACTTATCTATGTATTCCTAAAAAATATGTCGTAAATAATGTATTATTTATTTTGGCCTGTTTGGCTTTTGAGAGTCATTCATGGTAAAAGACTAAGCTGTGTTTATTTTATTTATATTTATTTATACATTCTGTTGAGGTACATTTTGTTGTTTTTTTCTTTCAGTACATTGGTTCATATGACCAGTGCTGCTCTAAGCATTCCTACACGTCACCTGGTACATAAATGCACTGATTTCTCTAGTGCAAATACTTCATAGTGAAATTACAAGTCAAAAGATGTGTGCATATCTCTACAGAATGGTTATGTTAGTTTATAACCCACCAGTAGTGGTTAAAGGTTCCTATCAGCATTTGATTCCTTGCTGTTTCTTTGTCTTTTCTTTTTTAATTCTTTATTATCTTTTTAATTTATAAACATTTATTAAGTATTCAATGTTGTCCAACTAGAAATGTTGGTATGTTCCTCTTTTCTTTCTTACCTTCATCTCATATACTCAGATGGCCAATCCTGGTGAGTAACATCAATTATGTTATCTGAATAGAGATTTTAACATAAGGAATTGTTAGTCAAGTATAAAGTTATTAACTTGATTGAAAAGTTAATGAGAACCTGAAAGTTTCATACAGGTAGCAACTATACGAAAAGACTACTACCCCAGAGTCAAGAGAAGAAGGGTAGCATTTGAAATGATTACAACTTTGAAACTTAGAAGACAAATCCCATGGAGCTGAAACTCAGTTTTCTGAGGCACTTTGCTAAAGTCTTCAAGCTGGAATGTAGGGTCCTGTGGGAATGGGGCTCTCACCAGCTGGTCTTGAGGCGAGAGCATGCAGTAAAGCTAGTTCCTCTAGTGTTGGGAAAACCAGTTATGTTCAGCTGCTTCACAGAAAGAACTTGCTGTGTTAGAGTGAAGAAGCATTGCTGAGGTGTGTTCATAGGAACTGCAAATAGACAGGATGTAACGAAAGGAATAAGCTCTTTCCTTCCCCTCCAATTTTGTAATGGGTAGCATGTTGTTTTAGTTGAGGTTGATAGCAAGCCAAGTGGAAAAGCCAAAAAAGGTAGGTTATAAAAGACTCAACCTCAGCATTCTGAGGCAGGGGATAGAGTAGGGGGTGCTAGAGGTGGAGCTAAGCGACAGTTACTCTAGAGCTGGCACACAGCTATAGAACCTGCATCCAAAATCAAGAAATAGAACTTTATCAGAAGAGCCCATTGTGCCTTCTCTAGACATTGCTCTAGCCTCTCAACAGTGATATACCTTTTTGTTAAATGCCTTTGTCCTCTTAGGAGTTTTCCTTTTTTTGTTTGTTTGTTTTTATTTTAATACTCTGCCTTTTGGCCCTCTGTGGTAGCACAGCGGGTTAAAGTGCAGCACTGCAAGCAAACTGCAGCCACTTTCAGTGCAAGTTTGATCCCCGGCCCTGGCCTGGAGATGAATCCACATGGTATGGCAGACCTCTCCTGACCCGCCCGCTGCTCCCCTCAGCAGTGTACTTCGTTGATCTGCCTGTTCCGCTCCCCACTCTGTCTCTGGTGAATCCTCTCATCGTCCCTGCACCTCTGACCAGTTCTGTATGCACAAATAAATAAATCTTCAAAACAAAACAAAAAACTCTGCCTTTGCCCTCCCCCCACCCTTCAAGCCTGTATTTTGGTCATAGTTTTTCCTTTTTAAAAGTCAATTCATGATAGAATTAAATTATTATAGTACTGAATTTCAGAAAATAAATTTATTAAGACATACATTCCCTAGAGAATGGAACATTTATATAGGACATTGACTTTAACTTTCTTATTCTCAAGTACAGAATTATACTTTTTTCTGGTTGCTGTTTTCAGGACAACATATTTTTACTAGCTAGTTTTGGAAAATGCTGTGAAAGATTTTTTTTGATTCATGTGACCCTTGGTGTTGCTTAAATTTCAATAACAAGGTAAACTAAGTGAAATTCACAGTTGAGGACTAAAGAAGCTTCTTCCAGTCTGATTAGATAACTAAAGTTAAAAGATTTTTAATTTGTTTGTGAAAATATTTCTAAGAAAAATATGATAAATTCCCTATATTCCATAACATTAAAAGTATAGGTTGAACATTTGCACAATGCTGTCCTAAACTATAGTAGAAAATTAACTTTGTAGTTTTAGTCAGATCTATTCTGAACAAACTATTGAACACATGTACAGTAAAATCATTTTGTTCTCACTCATTTTCTTTTTGTCCCAACAGGTTCATGAAGTTTATAAAATCTATATATTTTCTATCTTTCTGGGATATTTACTGCAGTTTGAGAATTCATCTTTATTGGTGTCTCCTTTGTTAAGTTTAGTAGTAGCCTTAATGTTTGTTAAGTGCCTTCAGGTAATTAGAATTGTCTTTTTATCATTCTTATGGTGAAGTTTTTCATTTTTAATTTTTTTATAACTCACTTCTTTCTTCATTTGATGTCCCCCACTTCCCCCCAACAGCTGAATGTGAAGAAAGGAACTTTTGTAGCTAAAATAATGGAAGTGATTAATTTTTATCTGGTGTGTACTCTGACAGTGACATTGAATATTATAATGAAGGTAAGTAACTCTGTGAGATTTATGTAGAACAAATTTAGTAAGGAAATATACAGGGCTGAATTTTAAATAAGCAAAATGAGATAACAAGGTAATAGTAGAGCATGTATAGTAAAAATTTTAGTTAAACAGTGATTATACCTACTTAGTATATTAGGTGAGAAAATAGGATTCGGATTCTAAAAGGAAAAATACATCCTTTTTCACATTTTACTTAAAATGTGATCACTACCACAATAAATGATACAGGAATTAATTGAGATGAGTAAAAGCTGTTCTTAAGAGTGGATAAATCATATAAGTCTGATGGGAAAAGACTGAAATCTTACTACTCCATTACTGTTTTTTGCTTAAATAACAGGTGATATGTTTGCTTATGCTAATGCTAATACATCTTATTGCTTTGTAGTCACACTGTGTATTATTTACATCATATTTTTTTGACAAAAGTAGTTACTGTGAAGCATAGCCAATAATTTTGTTGTAACTAGCATCTTTCTCCTCCAGATGTTTGTCCCACACCAAGAAAATGGGCATATGCTGAAGTTCCTTGAAGTAAAATTTGGACTAAATATGACTAAGTAAGTTTTAGATTATGTAAGTTTAACTCTATACCACTTAGAAAAGAGATAGCAAAAATAATCATTGGTGAGAAAATACATCTAATTATATACAAATTTTGAATAATAAGCATATTATGATATCTAGAAGAAATATGACGATGTTTTTATCATTTAAAAATAATCTCGGTCCCTCCCTGGTGGTGCAGGGCTTAAAATGTAGCACTATGAGGCTCTCCACAGCCACTGCAGCATGAGTTTGAAGCTTGGCCTGGGAGCTGACCCACATGGCTCAGCAGACCTCTTTTATATTGCCCGCTGCTCCCCTCAACAATGTATTGCAGTAGATCTGCCTGTTCTACTCCCTGCTCTGTCTCTGGTAAACCCTCTCATGCACATACCCTCTTCCCCATACCTCTGGTGTACATCCTAAGTCTCCTATGCAATAAATAAATCTTTAAAAAAAACCAAAAAACCTGTGATTTTAATGTCATGCTTTTTTCTTCTACAGGAATTTTACAATGAATTGGCTCCTTTGTCAAGAATCCCTGCAGGCACCATCTCAAGATTTTTTTTTGAGATTGACACAATCTTCTTTATTACCTTTCTATATTTTAGTGTTATTTATTTGTTTATTTTCTATGATGCAAGTTGTTTTTAGGAGGATTAAGTAAGTACTTATGCAAATCAATTATGTTGCTAACTAACATATTAAGGAAATATAAAAAATAATTATTTTTGACATTTGTATATTTGTTTTACAGCTTTTAATTCCATTCTTTGTCAGTGTGTAAAATATTATATTAACTAAATAAAATTCAATTTTAAGTTTATACATCTAATTAGGTAATGTCTAGATTTAACATAGGAAATTAATCAGTTAAACTTACTTATTGCTCACTAATATATTCAAATTTTTACTTAATTTCTTCTCTTTAATGTAAATGAGGGTAGTACTCTAAGTGACTTTAAGTTGTAAAATTTGACTATTTTAATATATTTTTGTTTGAAAGGAGATTGCTTGTAATACCTTAATTTTGAGAACTTAGTTACTCAGATTATGACTTACCTATATTGATTGAGCAATCATAGATTGAGTGATAACGATCTCTAAACAGAAACTTAAAATTCTTTCAGATTTTATTTAGCCTTCACCGAGTCATATTTCTGCTTCTAAAAGTCATTTTCAAAGACTGTTAGGTATTTGACTTACAGAATCGTTTAAAAAAAAATTTATGTATGTATATAAGAACTGGGGTGTAGGTCAGAGGTGGGGGTTGGTGAAAGGATTCGCCAGAGACAGAGTATAGTGCAGAAAAGGTAGATCTACTGAAATCTGCTGAGGGAGCAGTGGATGAGACAGGAGAGGTCTGCTGTGCTATGTGGGTTATCTCCCTGCTGTTACAGTAGCTGGCAGTAGCTTGATAGCTCTGTGTCTTTTTTTTTTTTTTTAAGCTTTATTTATTTATGCATATAGAACTGGGGTATAAGCCAGAGTTGCAGGGGCTGTTGAGAGGATTCACCAGAGTCAATGGGGAGCAGAACAGGTTGACTGATGAAGTACACTGCTGAGGGGAGCAGCGGGTGGGTCAGGAGAGGTCTGCCGCGCCTTGTGGATCACCTCTGGGGCAGGGATTGAACTCATGCTGAAGTGGCTTTAGCTTCTTGGTGCTGTGCTTTAACCCACTGAGCCACCAAGGGAGGGCCCAGCTCTGTCTCTTTAACACATGTGCAACCAGTAAGGCCCCTATACTTTCACATTTTAAGAACCACTAGAGTTCTTCTTGGGGAAAGAAATTTAAGATCTTTGACTTTTTCAAATACATGTTTTTAAAATACTAGCAAAAAGTACATTTTCTTTCTTTAGTGGTAAATCGCCGAAAGAAACTGTTACTCTTGAAGATGGACGAATCGGAGAAAGGCCAGAAATAATTTTTCATGTGATTCACACTATTTTGTTTGGTTCTCTTGCAATGATTATGGAAGGGTAAGTGTACTTTATTTGATCTAACTATTTTTATAAAGAATTATTCTTTCTAATGGTAAAGTGGATATTTTTAAGAATATATTTATAAAATTTTATGAAAACTCAATCTATGTGATTTTTCTTAATCTAACCGGAGTTTATACAACTTTTTGTAGTACAGTGACTGGCATTTACTTATTTATTAATTTGCTCAAAAATTATTGAGTATCTTCCCAGTGCCAGGCATTGTTCTAGGTGTTGAAGGTCTGTGGTGAACAAAAGTGGACACTCAATCCTTATGTGACTCACAGCCTAAGGGAGATGACAATGTTAAAAATATAAAAATAAAATCACAACTTTGATAAGTGAGAAAGGAGAAAATGGTGCTATAAGACATATAAAAGTGGAATTTGACTTAAAGATCAGAAAGCATATCTAAGGAAAAGGTACAGTAGATAAGGCCTGAAGGGTAGCAGGAATGAGTGAATGGAGGGCAGAGTATCCCTGGAGAGGAGATACATGTGCACATGCCAGAAGCAGGAAGTGGGGCATTATTGGCTGGAAAGAAAAGATGCTAGTATGGTGCTAGCCTGGGCTGGGGTCCTTGGACCTTGTTAAAGAATTTGGGTGTTTCTTCTTTTATACTTGTCCTCCCTTCATTTCTCTTACTGCTGTAAATGACAAATGACCCCTTACTAACCACTACATGCGAGACCTCATTTAATGTTCCATAAGGCAGAATTTTTACTTTTCATTTGTTTGATCATATTAATGTTGTCTTGTAAGGAGTCCATAGGTTTTATTAGATTAATAAACTGACAACTAGTGAGAAACTCTTCAGGGGAACATGAAGAAAGAATAAAAAGTCTAAAAAGTTTTTAGACCCTGTATATTTTAAGCAATCATGTTTTAATTCTCATCTGGTTACATTACAATGGTAAAATTTTACAACAAAGTTTACTTTTTTCCTCTTTATTCTCAGTTTTATTTCTCTTTGCAAAAGAACCTTTTCTATCCATCATTCTTCATTGTTTGATTTGCTATTTTAAATTCAAGATTCTTTTTATTTAATGTCTTAACCTGCATTGTTCTATCATTCATCTTCAATTCTTTGATTTACTCACTTGTCCTGTAAGATTTATTCATGATCATTTAGGTATGCAAAAAAAATAAAAGATGCTTTAGACAACTAGTCAGGAACTTGACACTCCACTAGGGATGCAGTATGGAATTAAAGAGATACAAGATGTAATCTTTTTTTTTTTTTTTAAGATTTATTTATTTATGCATACAGAACTGGAGTAGAGGCCAGAAGTGCAGGGTGGTGAGAGGCTTCACT